TACGTAAACATCCTCATGTATTTTAAGGGTTGAAATATTTTTTCAAAATATGCACCTTAAGATGCTTGTTGAAATTACAGTCATTTGTAATCAAATGTTCTCCATTGATATCACATTGTGTTTAACATCATACTTGTGTCTATTGAATCTTTTATTTAATTTTTCCATTGTGCAACCCGTATAAATCATGTTTGGTACATTGGGCAGCATATATTAAATAGGAATCAGTACAATTGCCACCCTCTGAAGAAATCATGATGTTTCTCTTTGAATTTGTGATAGAATTGACTTGACTCATGTTGTTGTACAATGAACAGGGGGGGTTCCCCTTCTATGAGTGTTTTCAGGAGTACAATGATCCAAAACTGCAGTGTTGTTGAGTGTGAATGCTTACATTTGTTAAAATTTGTCTGTTTTTATTTCTTTTGAAAGAAACAATCAGCAGATTGGGGAAAATCTCTTTAAAACGTGGATATTTTGGTGCAATGTATTCGTAACTGTTGTGTATTATTTTAGAAATTCCTGCAAAATTTCAGTGCCAGTTGATAGTTTTTTTTTCGTTTTTTGGTGTAAAATTATGGTAAACTTGAATTTTAGCAACTTCATTGGCAATTTGTTTCCATCACAAATCTTGATAGCTGCGCTTAACATAATACCGAATTAAATCATTAGCATGCTTCTAATAATCTTTTATCTCCATACAAATTTGCCTTATATGCAACAATTGGCACTTCAGGTTTGATTTTATCATGTGATAAGGATGATCAGAATGTCAGTGTAGGTAAATGTGCGATGAGGTAGGCCTTGCAAAATAATTTGGTCATTAGACAACTCTTGGAGAACTTTACATTATTTACATTATTAGGACTATTGTCCTCATCTTTGTCACCATATTTATTACAACATTTCCGTCGTTGTATGCTCCGGCCTTCTTCAGGTGGTTGGAATGTCGAACTGAACCCTTTATTTCGCTCAAGGACACATGGCACAGTAGATAAAGCCATTAGTTAGATTCAGTGACAGAACCCAAAGAGTGTGATTTCAATACCTGCTTAAGGCAGTGGAGAACTTACAGAGGGAAATTAACAGGAGATAACTGATATCCATTAAACATGGCACGTGGAACTAGAACAGTCTACCCCAGTGAGCGAAATAAAGGGTTCAGTTCGAAATTCCAACCACCTGAAGAAGGCCGGAGCGTACAACAGCCAAAATGTTGTAATAAATATGGCAACAAAGATGAGGACAATAGTCCGAATAATGTAAATAATGTACATAATACCTCATCTCAGAAATATAGACAGAAACTTTACTCTAGTGTCTAAAAATTCAACACTAGCTTTGGAAAAACTGGATGTAAATTTTATGTATGGTTCAAAAATGGATCCTTTGTGCATGTATCACAAAATTTTAACAAAATTCCCTACGTACCTTCCCAGATGAAAAAAATATCATCATAAATTGCAGCTAAAGTTCTTGTTCATGACCATGTTATGATTTGAAAGCTTCAAGTAATTTTTCCTCAAAGTTTGTCATAAAAATATGTAATATCATGTTTAGTTTATCAAAGTTAACAGCTATGGGTGTCCCCATTGCACATCTTTTGGTTTGGTGGAAAAGATTTTGTTTACCCAGACTTCATCAGGTTGCTTTCCAAGATAAAACATATAAGTCTATAGAGAAAGTTTGACAGAATGATTTTGTTTTTTATGTTTCTCGAAAACTTTTCTTCATGCCTCAATCCCTTCATCTTGATCAATATTAGGATAAAGAGATAAAATATCTATGGTGACAAAGAGCAATCATGAAAATAATTTTTTCATTCTGAGAATCTATTTATTTTAGAAATAAAATCATCAAATATGTCCCAGACATAAGATGAAGACCATTTTCCTATAGGAGATAAAAACGGTCTAGGCACTTAGAGATTTTTGCTGTGTAGTATTCATATCCACTATAAACTGGGTGTAGTGGAGGAAATTTATTAAATTTCTTGTGTATTTTTGAGAAGCTGTAACACACTGGTATTCTTTGCTCTGAACGTAATATGTTAGATTCTGTTTCATTGATAAAACTGTTTCCTTTCATTTCAGAGACTGTATTGTCTAACTTTTTTCTATAATAAGGTTTCAGGCCTATTTTACTTCATAAAAACTTTTGTCCCTTAAAACTTCTTCACAAGCCAAAATATAATTTTCCTTATTCATAATAGTTATGTGCAATGTGTGATACATGCTTAGGTGATCATGTATCTTTCAATACATGAGTGACAAGGCAGATTTTTTTCTCACAGTAGGTTGCCATTTCTTTCTGTGGTAGACCAGTTGTCATCCAAGGCTATAGAACTCGGTCTGTCCTGCTATTTACCCATAGCTGGGGGGAGAAGAAAACGATTCATATCTTTCCCAAGGGTATTAGCTAATAAGTGAATGTAATGTATTCAAAAGGAATTCGAACCTGGCTCTCCAATTCCTCAATCTGAGCCGCTATCCATCACTCCACCCAAATGTGTATTATTGTTGTTTTATTATTACTATTTATTATTGTATTATAATTACTATTTTTTTATTATTATTATTCAAACTAAAATAAAAAAAAAGGAGAAAAAATTACTGATTGATTGATTTGATATTTATGGCTTATCAACATTTTGTGAGTTATTTAAAGCCAAAGTATATTTGGGACTGTAAGAGCAGGCTTACAGAACCCAGCATTACTAAGTGGCAATCCCCCATCTAAGTGAGAAAAAAAAAATAAAAAAACAAGAAAGACTTGTTTAAAACATCTGCTTCAATAATTCAATATAAAGTTCTAGCCTTTTAAATATGATCAACAAAGATCAATAAATAAATCATTTTTTCTCACTGTAAACTAAAGAGTTAAATGTATATTTATCTGATCTGACAATTTACATTCATATTTACCATGATTTACTAAGCATACCTTAGATGTAGCACAAGGTCATATGTATTGAGAAACCAATGAGAATTGAACTCAACACTCAGACATACTGATCTAACGAGAGAATTTTTTAACCTTCAGCATTCTGCATTATTAATTTCAAATCCTCTAAATTGCAATATCCTTATTGTTAATTTTACTCAAAGTTGTGTCCTGTTGCTATAGCAGGATATGACAACACAACTATGAATCACAAACACACTATTATTCAAAGATCTGAGTCACCTTCAGTGTAGGATAAATTTTTTGTACTGCAAATGAAGTCATATACAGAGTGATAAAAGTCTCCCAATACATTATATCAAAGTGCCCATATATTCATATTTACATGCGGAAATTTTATGAATCAAAAAAATTAACCTTCAACCTCTTTACTACATGTAAAGAAAAAATTATATTCACTATTGCCCTTTGACTTTTTTTCTGCGTTCTTAATAATCAAAGTCCATTTAAATATACATGAATATTCTACATTTAACTAAATCCAGGAAATTGTGCTAAGTGGTAGAATTTAGTAATATTTCCAAAAGTAGATAATAAGAGTAGATAGATTTGCCTATGACATCCGGTTCACACTCCTCCTCTGTCTTTCAAGCAGGAGCAGAGGTTTATCTTGTTTCCTGTTTAGGATTGCATTCCAGTTCCTTCTAAAGTCTACTTCAACTCTATACTTCCAATGTCTCCAACTCTGAAATTTTATTTACTATTTATTTTTTATTCTTTTCTACAATAAGAGTAGACAGGTTCACCTATTGCCCTGTTCACACTCCTTGCCTGTCTTTTGAACAGAAACAGAGGTTTCTTCCCTTGTTTCCTGTTTAGGATTGGGTTTCTAGTTCCTCTTAAACTCTTCTCATTCTCTTTCACTCCCAGCAGCCCTTTGCATCTCAGTGACATTATTGCCTTACTTGGGTGTGAATTGATTAAAAATATATATATATTATTTGTATAAACATATAGTATGCAAGATATTATCACATTATGTTAGTATTTTATTTTAATTATCATTTAAACAGAAACTGTTGAATTTTTCTAAAAGATGGGAAGTTGAAGAACTAATTCAATTTTTGTCACACGAGAATAACGGAAACTCGGTCTTTTTGATCCACCCCAAAATCTCACCACTAGGATTATTATGTTAAAAGATTTTTCCACTTTGTCATAGATCTTCCTAAAAATTTGTTTTTGATATACAAAAATTAATATAGTTTTTTTTCTTTATACACTAACAGTTAGTAACTTATGTGATACATGTTTATAGAAATAATATTTTTTTAATCAGTTCATCATACCCACCCACTCCCAAGCAAGGCGTTAATGCCACTAAGACGCAAAGGTGGGCTACCGGGACATTTGAGAACTTTCTTTTTTTAATCAATTCACCTCAAGCAAGGCGACAGTGCCACTATGACGAAAGGGGCTACTAGGAGTAAATGACAATGATGTTTTACAAAATATGTTTGATTATTTACTAGCTGAAATTCGTGATGCCAATAAAATTTTTAAAAGCTTCTCGTCAAGTAATATGTTTAGTTTATCAAAGAATCATATAAAGCAATATTGGTAATTTAACATAATTTCGAAAGTTATTTCTTCACAGAATGTTGAAAAATGTCAATATTGACAAAACGAACGATTTGCTTGTTTAAGCAAAGTAAAAGATGACAAACAAGTTTGGCAACATGAATTATATTTATATAAACAGACAAGGATTTATTTTTATTATTAAATTATTAATAATAATAATGAGTTAAAAAGAATTATATCATGAAGATGAGGTTGATTTTAAAATCCAAAAAACAATGGAAACACCGATGTTAGACTAGAGAGAGTACACAACTGGATACGAGAAAGAATATAAGAAAAATATTGTAAATGCATAAAAGAGTTTTTTTTTTTTCTTTAGTTTTTCTTTTGCACTCTAACAAAACGCATATTAAAATAATAATAAAATCAAACCAACCAACCTGCACAAAAATCAGGAAGAAAATTCCTTTAAAGGTAAATTCAAATTGTAAAGCTGGATTAAAGTGGGAAAATCAAACACCAATGAAAAAAATGCGTTTTCTCCGGTACAAACGCCAAAAATCGCATGGAATTATTCCATGAAGACTTATTTCTGATTTGCAAAAGCTCCAGGTATTTGTTGGAATCGGACGGAGCTGTGCGACAGCCGTTGAAGGAATAAGTACGGATAACAAAACAGTTGTAGTAGGAATAGTTAAGCGTAGTGGTTTCAGGCGGCCCAGATTCGCTGAATTGTCACAAACACCAGGAAAGAGAGAGAAAGAGAGAAATGGTTTGGTCGACGAACAAACAAAACGGCTACAAGTGGGAGTGAAATTAAAGCTACAACAATTATTATCACGTGGGTGAGAAAAAGAAAAGGGAAGCAAAGCGAATTGGTAAACAATTAGGGATTTAGTAGGAGGATAGACGGGACCCTATACTTAGTGGATATCCATGGTGTTAGAGATTGGTACACAGATTCTAAAAAGTTCTAAAAGTTTGACGTGAGTGGTTAGGTTGGGGATGGGTAAAGAAAAAGATATTTTAAAGTTTTTACTCTCTTGTGGGTGAAAGATGAGAAACGACAGAAAAGACGGCTAAAAAAAGAAGAAGGAAAAACCGATGCTTGTGTCATCATAGAGAAGCAATCTTTGAAATGTGATAGAAAATGATGATGATGATGATGGCCTTGTGTGTGTGTTTAAAGAGGACATCTGTCATAAAATAAAATTTAAATAAATATAAAGAAAAAAAAAAGACGGAGGTTCAAACAAACAGAAGAAAAAATATTGGACCCTTTTTCTTTCCCTCTGTGTCTATTCACGGTTGTCAAATTAACTTCCCCGCGCCACTTGATAATTTTTAGACTTTTTTTTTAACCACCTCCCCGGATTTTAATAGGACCCGAAAACTTGTTTATTAGGTTATAAATGTATAAGTTTAACACGACAAAGAAAAGGAACATTATGGAAATATTTTCAATTTTACTACCGCCAAAAACAAAAAAAAAAAAAAAAATCATACGCACTTTTAAAAAATTTACCAAAAATCGGAGAATAATAAGACTTCATTGAAATTTTCAGCAGTTATTCATTAATGAATAAAAAATAAATTATATTGAATCTGTTTTATTAAAGTTTTGTTGAAATTTTTTTCTATGTCAGTTTAAAACCGATAATTTTTTTTTGTTTACAGTACACACTACAAATTTCTTAAAATTAAGAAAATGGCCGCTTTTAAGAAAATTTTCTTAAATCGGCCAAGAAGTTTAGATTCCGATCTATAAAATACACCAGACTAACTGGAAATAGTAAATTTAATCCTTTTGCTTTCAATTAAAGCTAAAAAAAAAAAAATTAATCTTCAAGAATGCTTTTTCATTTTTAAAAGTTCATAAACCTTAGGTACCGACCGAATTAGTGAAAGAGACCCTACTCGGCTAATTCGTACTTGGGAATTTTGGATGTTCCTAATTTTTACATTTTCAAAGGTAAATCCTGTTATTAACAAAACAATATGTAATATTGTGTATGAACAGAAAATAACATCGTCCAAAATCTCAACAAGAAAATACGAGGAAAAAACTCAAAAAATTATTGGGTTTCCGTTTGTGCATAATTATCAGGCGTTTTTTACACAATATATTTATGAAAAAAAAAAGAAACAATTCAACAATAACATTTTTAAATGATTATTCCGGAGCGTATGATTATCGACACGCATTTTTAAGCTGAAAATAAAATAATACTTTTATCAAAAAAAAGTAAACAAAACAGCAATTTTTATTAACAGTTTTAAATAATTCGCCTATAAAAACGCTTGATAATTATGCACCAACCTAATACTTTCTGCAGAGTGTTGCTAATCAGGGCCGGTGTGTACTACACCCGAACGCCCAGATGGGGTGGAGAGCCTGATTAGGGGCCTCGAACAGTGTTTTGTGACCCTCGCTATATTATCAACCTTTGCTTTTTTTTTTCTACCTACATTTATGTACGTTGCAAATTAAACTAAGCACAGCTGATGATTAAAAGATTAAGAATTTTCGCTGATTTTGACTTAATTCTGGTTTCTTTTTTGTCCAAGTCTGTGAATTTGTTTTGTTCATAAAAAAGTCTAAAAAAAAAAAAAAAACACTTTAAAAATTCACTATTTTTTTAATCGAAACTATGTTGAAATTATTCAACTTTTTAACAAGAAAAATCTCAAGTTGACTTTAAAAAATTGACGTTGATGAGCTACGATATCGTAAAAAAAAAAACCTTGATTTATTTAAAGATGGAATGGCATATTTTTAATTTTTCTAGTTGAAATGTTCACCTATATATTACGTATGACCCATTACTGTATTGTACATAATTAATTAGGTTACAATAAAATTTGTATTTTATGAACACTACCTTATGAAAGTAGTAGAAGGGGGACTGTTTCAAAGATTCGGTGGAGGCCCACAAAATCCTTGCACGGGCCCTGACTCAGTTTAAAAGTACACTATATCTTGTATTCACCAAGAAAAAATTCGCTGATGTATATTTGCATGTGAAAAAAAAAATGACTTATATTTTTACAGTATGATTTTAAAACACTTTGAGATCTTGGTCGTTGCTGATAATATTTAAACGGCAAATTCCGAGTGTCTTAAAAACCTCACTAACTCGGGCCACACTTTTACTCTACAGACATATACATTTTTTTTTGGAATCAGGATGATCCCGGGATTGAAAAGCTACCCTTCATCTGGTGCTTGAACATCCAGCAATGGGATTTGTGTCCGGAAGAGGAGGGAATAGTTAAAAATTCAAATTTTTAAATAGCTGAAAAAATTAGTGATTTTAAAAGTTTTTATTTAATTGATATTGAGTTTCTGTTTAAAGTAACAAAAACTTTGTGAATTTAATTTTTTTGTTTTAAATTCAGTTTAAAATGTATCCAAAACTTCCTGAATTGAGGAAATCAATTTTATTTCTTCAAAATGCCAAGGAATCCGACTTAAAGTGAGATGTTTCATGACATGAGGTTTTGAAATCCTGCAGTGTTTGTGATTTGAAGAACTCAATTCTTAGCCTGGATTTTGGCCCAAATCAGTCTTTTGATCAGAACTGGACTTAAAGCCCAAATTAGTGTTAAAGTGAGCTTTTGAAGTTCCATAGAGTGAATTGAGAAATTCAAAGTTTCTTCTTCAAAATTATCATTGCTGTTTTCTAAGATGGGCCAAAGGTCCTTTTAGTTTTGGATCAGTGGCCAAATTGGCCCGCCGCAGTAGCTAACTCAAAATCTGCATAAAGTGAGGCTTTTAAGTTGGTATAAAATAAAGAGGTTTAAAGAAGCAAAAAATGTAAAGTTTAATGGCCTTTTTGAATGTTAATATTTTTTTTAATAATTTTTTGTTTTTAATATTTTGCGACTGTTTGATTTTTATTTTATGGAAGCTCAAAATGAAAACCTAAAATGAAATACTGAGTTATGTACCATGGCTAAGAACATCTACTGCAAATGTTAGTTTCTTGATTGTGCTAATTGTGGTCTTCTATATTTTGGGGAATTTTACACCACAGGAGGCAGAGTATAAGTTAGCAATTTTTTGACCAATCTACTTAAGTAGTGCTAAAATTACTATAACTTTAGTGATTCTAGATTCTAAATACAATTGGTTCTTTTTTACGGATTATCAACCTTTTGTTAATGCTGAAACTTTTTTTGAATTATAAGAAAATTCTTTTTTTTTTTTCACGACTGAATACTGCATTAACAATTTTCTTTTAGAATAACAATGATTTTTCCAGATACAAGTCCTACTATTTAAACTAGGGGAAGAAGATAAATTCATACCTTTCCAAAAAGTATTTGCACATAAGTGAACACAACGAACCAATCTTCAGGTGATTTTGAACCGAATCCTTTATTTCATTCATTGGGGTAGATTGTTCTAGTTCCACGTGCCATGTCTCTTCTGGATGTATCAGTTATTTCACTTTAACTCAACTCTCCAAGTTTTTGGTTTATCCACTGCTGTGGCCTTGTATTGAACTCACAACTCTCTGGGTCTAGTCATTGAATCTAGCTAACATCTTTATCCACTGGGCCATGTGTACTCAAGAAAATGTTTTGAATATGACAATGAAGATGAGGATAACAGTCTGAATAATGTAAATAATGCAAGTAACCATCTACTTAAGTAGTGTTAAAATTGCTATAACTTTAGTGATTCTATATTCTATATACAATTGGTTCTTTTTTATGGATTATCAACCTTTTGTTAATGCTGAAAATTTTTTTGAATTATAAGAAAATTCTTTTTTTTTTTTTTTAATGACTGAATACTGCATTAACAATTTTTTTTTTAAATAACAATGATTTTTTTTCCAGATACAAGTCCTACTATTAGCTAGAGGGAGATGATAAATTCATACCTTTCCAAAACGTATTTGCACATAAGTGAACACAACAAATCAAACTGGAATTCAGACTCGGCTTTCTGATTTCTCATTCAAAGTCACTATCTTCTTTTTTTAATCAATTCACCCCAAGCAAGACATTAATGCCACTAAGATGAAGGGGACTACTGAGAATGAAAGAAAATGAAAAATTTTTAGAAGGAATCATAAACCCAATCCTAAACAAGAAACAAGGGATAAACCTCTAGTCCTGTTCAAAAGGACCAAGGAGGATTTTTGGCAACTGAATACTGCATTAACAATTTTTTTGAGAATAACAATGACTTTTCTAGATACAAGTCCTACTATTTAACCCATAACTGGGTGAGGAAATGGATTCATACATTTCCCAACAGAATTTACATGCAAGTGAATGTAATGGACCTGACTGGAATTCAAACTTGGTTCTCTGATTTCTCATTCCAAGCTGCTATTGGTCATTACACAACCTGCACGTCCACATCTAAATGCAAAAGATTATAAATAAATAGAAACCCTTTTTATGAAATCCTTCCTGTTATTGCCTTTTCCTTTCTGGGAAAATGCCAGATCTATAAAAGTACTCAGCACCTTGAATCTATTAATACATGAACACAACATATGTATGCTTAAAGTAACCATAGAGACAGTCCATAATAAAAGCTGCTTCATCAATGCAAACAAGAAACACTGGTTTGAATGCTTGCAACTGATTATCCTCTCAACAGGCATAACCGGAATGTGATTTAGACTTATATACACTTTAGTCAATTTATTTAATAAACTTTCTTGAAATTAAGCACGCACAATTCTAATTTATTCTTAACAACTTATGCCAATCTTTGAAATCAGATATTCAAGTAATAGAATCTTTTATTTTGAGATTTATGGCCACATCACACTGAAACACCAGTTTCTGTATGATCACCAACAAAAAGCAACATCAAACCTGGTGTTGTAAGTTTGAATTAATGGATAATGGCTTGGAATTGTTAATTGGAGAGGTGTAATGGATAATGGCTTGGAATTGTTAATTGGAGAGCCGAGTTCCAACTCCCATTGGATTCGTTATATTCATTTACAAGCAAATACCCTTGTGGAAAGTATGAATCCATCTCTTCTCCACCAAGCTATGGGTTAATTAGTAAAACTTGCATCACTAAACCATTATGTTATAACCTAGGGAAGGCTACTGAACAGAATAATCAAATGAAGGCTGGTA